CCCACGTGACCTCACTCATGACAATCGAGGACGGCGCAGGCTTCATTAAGGCGCATGAGGAGGCTGTCCATTAGCCGCAGGGTTATTGCCAGGAAAAGGCATGCCCTGCATGCTAGGCACGGCCATGGACATATTCATGGGCATCGGGACCTGCATCGGCATAGGCACATGATGAGGCAACTGGCCGCCCTGCCATTGCATCGGACCAAACACGGGTGTGAACGGCATCTGAGGCATCATTGGTGCCATGCCACCTGTCGAGAAAGCAGTGATCCCAGAGTGCGGGGCCATCATAGGCATGGGCATTGAGAGCGGCATGCCGGACAGGAAGGGTTGAGCCGAGGCCGCATAAAATGGGCTGGGGTTTGGTCCAGGCATTACAGCGGAAGCCGCAGGAGTCGACTTCTCAGGTTTAGCGGATCCCTTGTCCGTCTTGATGTCGCTGTTCTTCTTGGTGCCCTGAGACACCATGCTCGCAGGTGCCACTGGCATTTGTGGCATGGAGTAGCCGAATGGGAACGACATCATTGGTAAACCTCCCATAGGCAGGGAAGCCGTCATCATGTCGGGAAAGCCAGCCGGGACGGAGCCTTGGTTTGCCTGAGAAGATCCGCCAGCAGTACCAACGTTGGTAGAAGGAACCTGAGAACCTGCGTGAGGAACAGTGAAACTCGGAGTATCACCGCCCGGCCTGTCGTTGGCTCTTCCAGCAGGAGACGACGAGCCCCGAGGGTTTGGTACGATGCGACCACCAGCGGTAACGCGTACATGGGTCGGTGAAACGACTGCCTTGTAGAATCTCTTGAAACCTTCGTTACTTTGCGAATCCATATCAACAGGGGCAGGAATGGGTCTAGGATCAGGAACTAGTCGGTGTTCGAGCTTCCATTCATGGTCCTGGCCGTCAAGCTGTTGACGGATGGGCTCCTCTGACCCGACAGAGGCCTCAACGTGGGAAGAACGATGGACTGCCCCGTGACTGTTTCCGTTGATTGGAAAGCGTTTGTCCGAACCATTCTTTGAACTGTGGGTCATGGACTCGAATCCGTTGGGAAAGTTGCTAGAGGTTTCATACGCGTTGGTCCACTGCGCGCCATTCTTGCTGTGCCGCTCGCCACCCGCCGGTTGAGCGAGGATGGGAAGCCGACGAAGACGAACAATGTCCACTACATCAAAGGTGATTAGGTGGTACTCGAGAGAATTATGAGTCAAGGAGTTGCGGGCCTACCGAGTCCATTCTGGACGAGAGAGTTAACCAAGTCACGTTCGAACGGACGTGGTTTGGCAGTGATGGGGCGCATGTCCATGAGTTGATGGCGCTTGTACAAGTTGGCCATGTTGGAGACGGAATCCCAGTGATCTGAAGAATTCGTCGAAACTTGTTCAAACAGGAAGAAAGTTCTTCTCTGTTACGATCTGAAGGTTGGGACTCTGCAAGTGGCACAGCAAGTTCCGATCAATCTACGCACTGCATTAGCATGATCGGCAGTACCTCGAAGGCTCGCAGAATGAAGTGAAAAAATAGCGGAGATAGGGAGAGATAATAGGAGGCGGCAAGGATAAAGCACATACCGAGCTGGGTTGTCGAGAAAGCCAAGAGAAAAGGTGACAGGGCACGTCAACTGCGTTGACTGCAGGTGCTAGACATACAACGAGCTGGGAGAGGGTCAGCTTCCACCAAATTTGCAGCACAACGCGTCAGCGCGAGGAGGCAAAGAGCCACAAGCTGATCAAGGGTTGTGGTGGAAGGTTAGAATCAAAAAAGCGAAGGGCGTTTTCGTGATGGCAAAGGTCTTCCAAGAAGAAGTCGAGGCGCGAGGGATCAGGCGATGGAATGAGATGGGATGTAGTTGATGGAGGGAAGCAGAGTAAACGGGCCAGCCAAGAGGAGATTCCCGATATTGACGATGCTTCCCGAGGCAGGAATTCCTGAGAGTTGTAGGCAGCAGGGGTAGCCTTGGACGGAGCTGGTCAAGCCAGGGAGGTAGATTTCCGGAGGCAGTTGACAGCGCGAAGCCGTGAGGCAAAGGAGAAGGTCACAGGGAAAGCAGTGCATAGGATGCTTACCTGGTAGAGCTCTGGAGTTGATACCGAGGAAGAAGAAACAAGATCCAACAGACCTTGACCAGCGGCAATGAGCTTCGATGATGTACTCAGTAGTCCGTCAGGTGCCTTAGATACTCTTAGTTCCCTCAAGTAGGGGAGCGTTAGGGAGCTTTTCGTGGCCTCCAATATGTTCGCGCTTACGGTTCCAGCGGTTCGACGCAGTCACTTGAGGTAAGTCTGAATGTGGAGTGGTGGCAGCCCAAAATCGAGGTGATGCGCAGGATGGGGGTTTGAGTCGGTATTGTTCCAGAAAGGAGGGAGGGCGGTGAGGCTATTCCTGACGTGTTTGCGGGCAGGAAACGCATTGAATAGAGCGTGAGGCGGCTTGACTACCTAGGTACCTAGGCAGGTAAACCTACGAACTCACTCCAGAGCGTGGTGTTTCAAGGCTCCGGGGGCCGCTGGGAGGCACATCCCGATGTTGCTCCGAGCCCGAGAAGGAGCACTCCAGCCCGAGAAGGAGCACTCCAGTCTGTGTCTCCTGCCTCTCTGCCGTTGCGCAACTGAAACTCGTGATTCAAAGAGGCATCTGTGACTCCTAGGTGCCTGCCCGGCGGCAAAGATCCCTGGTCAAGGAAACCTCTCCATGCCCTAGCCTTGCCTCAAGAACTATCGTCTTCGCCGTTCCTCGTGAGAGCTCATTATGACGAACTTCAGAGTTGCCGCCGCTCCGTCCTTTGGCGCAGGGCGTATCTCCGAAAGAACGAACGCATGCTGTACAGATCGTGCACACAGGGAATACCCTCTTTGGCTGGCTGCCTATGTCTATCCAAGCAAGACAAGGACACCCGTGCTCACTGAGCAGCGCAGCGCAGCCACTTGGCCCGTATGATTCCGTCCATGCTCCCTTCTACGTTGGCTATTCGGAAGAGAATCAAGAAGCCACAAAAGAAATGCGATTCGCAGGTTCAGGAAAGAAACTTCAATAACCTGACATATGGCACCGTCGCCATACGAGTTCTTGGAATATCATGCTCCCACAGGGTCTGCAATGGAAAGAGTCGATTCGGAAATGAGTTTGCAGAACTTCTCCGAGCCACAGCCAATGCATGTAAGCAAAGGAGACACGGGCTCGTGAGCCAGCCGAAAATTTTGGCCATTGACGTGACGGTTTGGACGAGTTGTCCCGTAACGAAGTCTAGGAGCCGAATGAATCGTCGTTGGTTGTTCCTGTTAAAGACGCTCGGACCATTTATTGCAATAACGAGACGACCGATCGTATCATCATCTATCGGCGATATGACCTAAACGGGGCTGAAAGGCACTCACATGCGTGTTCGCACTGTATTGAGGGCAGCCTTGTCTTGTCCCTTTACATCATGTTATCGTCAACCTCTCTTGTTCTCTGCTGCCGTCACCAGATTCTGGGTAAAGCCCCGAAGAGTCCGACAAAGAAAACCAAGGAACAAGAGACATGGATTAAGAAGGATGGCACCCATCATCAGCCCTCCTGACAAGACACCCAATCGGGAACTCCCTCCTGCCCTGGCCAAACACCCCTCAGCAACACCCCTGGGTTCTTATGCCATCGTATTCGACTGATCAACGCAGCCATTCGTTTCAGGAATCAAGATCCCCTGCCCAAATTGATGGTCCAGCCTGAGCTAGCCGCCTCCGAAGATTTCCCGTCCTAGGCACATCCCCCGCAGCACAGCCGCCATGAATGGCGATCAGCCTATGGCAACCCGTCCGACAACCCAGCCGCAAGGTGATGGCCTGTAAGAGTGGTCAGGAGCACAGGGCATGTGAGCTCTCCGGATATTGTCTGCACTGATTCGAGTTTTGTGCGGGCTGCCTGTCTCGTGGAATTACCCATATGCCAGATCGGGCACCTGGTCGACCTCTCTGAACCCAGTGCTGTTGCTTGAACGCACCGAGCTTTATTGTCGGTGTCTTCTCTCGTCCGGCCCTTCTGGCGACGGGACCGGCGGGTCGGGGCGCGGTTTCGGGTGTGGCTTGTCCCCATCGCGTATGCGAGTTGCGGCGAAGGACGTCATCGTTGTTGATGGTAATGGGAGAGAAAAGCGGTGGCGGCGAGTGAAGTTGATGGATCTACTTCTATTACAGCAGTTGACAAGAGTGCAAGTGTACTCTGAGAATGTCACTGAGGTGAGAATGATGATGGGCGTATGAGGGGTCTTATCCGTGAAGGCAGACCTCGGAAAAGGATGTTGGACCACAAATGGGTGGTGCTCGAGGATAGATGAAGGGACGTTTGGCGGGCCAGGACGAGCTTTGCAATGCCGACTTGAGATGGTGGCCTCCCACTTCCTTTTATTCGTCCGCCGGCGACTCCCACAGAAGAAGCCCGCCCCCGGGGAACCACCACAGGACCATCTTCTACCCCACCACCTGGATCGAGCTCGAGGCATCTGAGAGCGCTCGAGCGGACAGGGTCATGCCCTTGAATGATTATACTTTTCTTGGTCATTGATTTGGAAGCCAACAACATGACGATGTGCAGATGGGATCATGTGTCTGGCACCCTCGATCTCTGTCCTATAGCTGTCTGCACTGATATCCAGGACAGCATGGGGCAATATGATTCATGTTATCAGCACGCGGCTTGATCAACTACTCGCCAGACCTGGTCACAGCAAAGAAAACAAGTGTGACCTTGGCAGCAGTGCGATCATTCGGGAACGCTGAACGCGCAATATGCTGCGAAAATGGAGCTGTTGTTGGAGGCAATCCACGGGGGATGGACCAATTCCTCCTCATGCGATGGCGAGCCAGGCCGCCCAGACTTTCACTGTGACAGGTTTATGGGGTCGATCACCAGGGTCTGCCGCTCAGCTAGCTATGGCAGGGGTTGCGAGGCACGGCTAGGCGTATGTGTATGTGTGTGTCGCGAGGTTCTCAGCTGACTTTGATATTAGCAGCAGGAATGAAAGGCGACAAAGTTTGGGACTGACTCAGGGCTGGGATTGAGGATGCGCGCCAACGATCGACGCCTTGCAGCAGTTTGACAACGGCACGTCAGGGACCTTGTTGGGCGATATCCCACCTATGGTTCTATTCGAGGCGCGCCCAACGTCTTTTGGGCATAGACCTGCCCGCGGCCCTTGTCCATGTGAGGGTGTGCGAGCTGGTCGTCTGTGCGGCTGTCTGCCCGCTTTTGCTGTCCCTGTTCCCTAATGCCGGGGATGGTCTATATGTGGTGGATGCGGCGTTTGCCAACACGCCCCCCAGTGCCCTGCCGTGCTTTGCATCGCCCCGCCTCGCCTTGTTCAAGAGGGACTCCTGTCATCATCATGCACGCATGCATGTCGCCCAGGAAAGACATTGCTGCAGAATGAGGGGATGTACCTGGCGCCGCTCGAGCCCCCTCGGCGCGTTGAACCGAAGGAAGCAAAAAGTGGTCTGCAATCTTTCTCATCACACACCATGGAAGGCAGGCGGGCTGTGGTTGAGCCTCTTCGACGACCGGCCGGAAACACTGCTCAGCACCGACGTCGCTCTGCCACTGGCGCGCCTTGAATCAATAGTCGCAGGCAGGGGTGCTTCGCGTCAACAAAGAGCTTGGCCCTAGCCATCGTGGGATTCGTATCGAGTTCCTTGTCAGGCAGTTCGCTGTGCGCACGGCTCCTGATCTAATGTGGCGTTCTAGTTTGCCTGCGGCATATCTCGGCACGCTTCTGGTCTTGTCTCGCCTGTCCTAGCTCCCGCAGTGTCACACTCGCCAAAGCGCACAAACCATGCGGCGGCGGCTATCGAATGCGGTGGCGGGCGTACCGGCGAGCGCGAGGGATGACTGGCTGGCTGATCACCATCTTTCATAGCTTGCGGACGGGTGAGAACAAGCGCTGGTCACGTACGTCGATGGAGGCATTTTTAAGACATGGCTTTTATCTGACAGGACTGACAGGCTGCTCAACATGTCAGCTTCGACAAAGCGGACAGACTATCACTCACGCACAGTCCCCAATGTCACACACGGCTGGGTTCTGGTCCGGGATTCTCCTCTCCTGCTGTTACTTCTTTGGGCCATATGCGGCATGTGCGCAGGCTGCGACGGCTTGATTGATCAAGAGCATTGATGGGGCCTGGCGTTGAGACAGCCCACTGTGCTTCGCCGATGTCTTGTTGGTCATCATTTCAGATTATTCCGCGCATATTTGGTCGACAAGGCCCTGGAGCCAATCGCGCAGCAACCTGCGTTACCGGATACAAGTAGTCACCCGATCGACTGTCAGTTCTCACGCCAGGTGTTTCCGCAATGCGTCGACCAACGGAGGGCGGAAGCTAGCAGACAACAGAGAGGACACAACAGGCGAGAGACAAGACGAGAAACATGAACAAACATGGGAAGAATGGCAAGGAGGTTCGAGGGCGGCAAGGGGGGAGCAGAACAATCGGGGACACCAGGCAGGTGGTTCACTGCTTCTAAGGCCCCGTCGTCATCCATGCGCTCCCTCCCCTCCGTCCCTGCGGCACCTGCAGCATGACATGCAGCTAGGCTGCACTTGAGTGGGATCAGGTGCCGCTACTGGGGCGCCCAGAGGACGCCGTCGGTCCGGCTACGACGCATCGGGGGCTCTCCATAGGCCACGGCCCGCCCCTGAAGACGGACAAGACGGACACGGTTCTGCCTCACAGCCGGCCGGACGCGTTCTTTTTTCCCACTACCCCGCGATTCCGCAGTCGTCGCGGGCGGGCGCAACCCCGCAACGCCATCACATGGGAGCAGCGGGAGTGGCAAGCTGGCTACACAGGACGTGGGCGCGGCTTGCGCGGGCCACCCAGCGTGGTCAGGGCCAAGCGGCTGGTTGATGCTTTTTACCTAGGCTCATCGTAATGGCGTGTGCCGATGGCTAACCGAGAGACGGGTAGATGGACAGATTTGAGTTCTTTTATGTTAGACCTTTTGTAGGAAGCTTCTCTTGTCCCTCTCGACACACACATTGTCAGAACGACTCTATCGGTTTTATCGTGCAACCAATTGACAGCCATCACTCAAGCACCAACACCACCACCATCAGTATGCTTGTCGCACATGAGCGGGAAACATTGCCGATGATACATGACTGACAAAACGCAGATCATCCCCAGCATCACCAAGCAGCCGCATCGACCAACGCAATGGCACCCCTCACGCCGCACTGGACTCAGCCGTCGCACCCCGACGTGCAAGAGGTCGTCAAGGCCAGCGAGACCGAGTTCCTCACCAAGAGCCTCTCCAAGGTCGCCCTGCCGCCCTTTGCCGTCTTCTCCAAGATGTCTTTCCCGCCTTGCACCCTCGCCGACAAGCCCACCTACGCGACCGTTCAATGTGGCAAGAACAAGCACCTCGATCTCAACAGCGACATGCTGTACATCAACCATTCGTGCGACCCCTCGCTGGTCAGTCATCCTGTCCCCTCCTCCGGTGCAGCCGGCGATGGACCCAGCGTTGCCGCTCTTCCTCTGCGCCAAACTGAACCTGCGTCTGTCGTGCGCCCCACTAACGCAATGGCGAACCTCGGTAGATTTTCGACACGGGCAACTTTAACATTCTCGTCGGCCCGAAAGGCCTTCAGCCCGGCGACGAGCTGACCGTGCGTTTTTTGCCATCCCCCCCCTCCTAGCTGGTGGATTCGCTATTTTTGCTGACTTGAGACTCCTTTGGGGCGCCTCTCCAGTTCTTCTACCCCTCCACCGAGTGGTCCATGGCTCAGCCCTTCGACTGCTTCTGCGGCGCCCCCACCTGCCGCGGCACCATCAGCGGTGCCCGCGACATGACCGACGCCCAGCTCGACGGCCTCTGGGTTCAACGGCCACATCCGCGAGCTTCTCGACGAGCGCCGCGGCGCAACGGCAGCAACGGCAGGGGGGTGGAGGATCCCCACGGCCCGCGCCCCTGCAGGAGGCCGTGTCGCAGGCCGAGCGGGGCGTCGAGGCGGCCCGCGCCGGGGTTCGCGTTTACCACGAGGGGGCACCGGTTCGTGTCGATGCGTTAAGGGTGTTAGGTCTGTCTACGGAAAAAGCAAACTGGG